AAACCCCCCCCCCCCCCCCCCCTACAGTAAGATCTTGTCACAAAGGCTCTTGTGGCTGTGTTTGGATGGAAGGAGCTTAGGCATCTGCCTGTTTAACCCTGAGTAATTTGGATGGATAGTTCTGGAAAACGGGTTGCGATAAGTTTTATAAGGGAACAGCCTTGAAGCTGATACCAATTTGAGAGGTCTCTGCTTTGGGCTTTGGTGGGGGATGGGCGTGAGATCAAAAAGGGTCAGCCTCAGTTCTAAGAGGAGCCTGACTCACTCAGACTTCTGTCAATTATTTCCTAAAGAGAGGCCCCCATGTTTTCTTAGGAAGCGGCTTATGTCTGCCAATCACAAGCCATTGTTCCCCCCCACTCCCAAAGCACCAATTCTAACAGCAATTCACTTGGGTCCAGTTGTGTGGTTTGGAGTAAGAGCAGCAAGGAGTCAAGGACTTTAAATATGGTTTTGGCTTCCAGTGCTTGGGGACACTTTTTGTGCATCCCAGTCTCTGTGTCTAAAATTAGCACCAGTGTCCTTCCAGGCAGGACAGAGATGATCTTGGGTGGGACAGAGCTGTCTTTGAGCCCAGAAAAGAACTGCAGGATGCTGCTTTAGGCAACTTCACCAAGCCTCATTTCCGATTCCCTTCTCTTCCTATTCAAGGAGAGGGTCACCCTGGGGAGAGGCTGCACTCCCTGATGCAGGAGTTCCTGGGCTCATTACCTCCAGCCTGACTGTGTCTGCCTCACAGCCCTGTCTTCCAGTCAGGACCCAGGAAAACACTTGTAGCTGGGAGAGAATTATAGAAATGAGATCCCACAGATGCAGATGTCTTCCCGAACACACCAAATAAACCTCCAGATAACGAATGCAGTTTGTAAAGGCACTTGTTCCCACGGTTTCAGTCTTCCAATTTGGGCAGAGGGGGCAGGAAAGGCATAATTCTTGGAACTTGAATAAGGAACAGAAACTCTCAACTTAGCCTCAGAAGTCTGAAAAAAAAAAAAATACTCTCACCAGGAAGAACCAGTGTAAAGTGATCCTCGAAATGCTGGTGCTTGTAGGACCATAAATGTCACAGATAGGCCTCAAAACTAAAACACAAAAACTTGCCTTGGTCTTTGGAATTCAAAGCCTGCTGTCAAATGGCTCTATTGCTCTGCTAACTTTCCATACATATGTTACATCAGACCGGCTCAGCCATGAATACTCAAAGGCCCTATCCTGCCTATCAGACCTCTCAGAAACTCCTTATGTCTGGTGACCTTGGTGACACAGTTGGCTAATGGCACTTGCTGCTAAGCCTGCCAGAAAGATGGGACTGAGTCAGTTCTCTTCTACATGTGTGTGCATGTATACGCACATTTAGAATTAGGACCTGCCTAGAAAAGAAACTAAATCTGTGGTGAATAAGTGAACACCTGATCAGGTCCCTAAAATTCATAACATATAGATGTCTGCAGGTTAAGGAAACAGAACGCAAAGTTGGATAAAGAGAACTAATCAGGGCACAGTGACTCACTCCAGTAATCCCACAACACTCAGGAAGCTGAGGCAGAAGGATTGTGAGTTTGAGGCAGTCTGGGCCACATACAGAATTAAGCCTTGTCTCAAAACTGCAAACTGCCAGGCATGGTGACCCAGGCCTTTAATCTCAGTTCTCAGAAAAAAGCTCACAGTAGGATCTCTATGAATTTGAGGCCAGCCTGGTCTATAGTGAGCTCCAGGACAGCCAGGACTGCATAGAGAGACCTTGTCTAAAAACAACAAAAATACAAAGCGGGCTGGAGAGTCGGCTCAGTGGTTAAGAGCTCTTATTGCTCTTGCAGAGGTCCTGGGTTTGATTCTCAGCACTGTATGGTGCCTCACAATTGTCTGTAACTCCAGCCCCAAGGGATCTGATTCCTTTTTTTGACTTCCTCAGTCACCAGGCATTTACTGATCTCTGAGGACACTAGGCACGCATGCAGTGCACAAACAAATACAGACCAAAACACTCATACACATAAAATAACAATAAATCTAAAAGAATTTTTTTCTTTTTCTTATTTTTTTTCCAAGACAGTTTTTCTATGTATCCCTGGCTATCCTGGAACTTACTCTATAGCCCAGGCTGGCCCTCAACTCACAGAAATCTACCTGCCTCTGCCTCTCAAGTGTTAGGATTAAAGGTATGCACCACCATGCCTGGTAAAGAATGTTATTTTTTAGAAATGCAAGCCCAATCAAAAGATAATAGTTGTATCTAGCTCCAAACTGCTTTTTAATCAGTAGACATTCCTTGCTTTTGAAATAATCAGTGGTGAGTTGTAAGGCTAACTTCAAGTGAGGCTAGCTAAACTCTTTGGATTGCTGTTGGGTGCTGGCTTTCTGCTCGGCATTCCAACTGATGGGTAAACCATTCCAAGTTTTGGTCAGGTGTCCTCATCAGAGGTGACAGATGAGGAGACACTAAGGAATGGGCATAGGGTAAAAGTGCTCTGAGGACTTGAGAAGGGGAGGGGGTGTTTGATGACCTCCTTAACCCTCACCTGAGGCAATGCTCATAGCCATTTTCTAAATGATACTCAATGAATAGAAGGAATGAGGATCAAGAGTGTTTGTGGTGCAAAATAGCCACAGTTTTAGTTTCTCTAGACTTCCTTCTCTCCCTCTCAGTCTGTCCCTACCTGAAGGCCGTCTCACAGTCCACAAGTGGCAAAGTACAGTGGCAAATGTACCAGTCAGTTCTCTCTGTAAGCCTTTTAGTGTGCCTTTAGTGTGATAATTTCTTTGTAATACGTGATCCTTCTGCCTAAGTCTACCAAGTACTGGGATTACAGGTGTGTACCAACATTTCTCTTAAAATGTATTTTTGTGTATGTATACGTTATGTGTGGCATGTTTGGGAAGGCACCTTTGTGCCCTGGTGAAGGTACAGCTGGCTGTCAGAGGACCTCATCAGGTATCCTTATATCCCCTCTTGTTTGAGCTGTAAACTCTGGGGTAGGTGGCCTGCAAGCTTTCAGGGAGTTCCCCTGTCTCCACCTCTCAACTCACCTTAACCTGGCTGGAATATAGATACACCCTGTGCCAGGCTTCTGTATGGGATCCAGGGATCTGAATTCATTGTCAAGCCTGCCCAGTAAGTGCTTTTATGCAATGAGCCTTCCTTCTCCCCGACCCCATCCTGGGTTTTGATGGGAGGAGAAAAGGCAGTCTGGGTTTTTGTTTCAGAACAGCTCATCTTCTGATGAGCATGCCAGGCTTCCACTCCCGAGGCCTGTCTACCGTGCCAGGGCCTTCTGGGAACTGCCAAGCTGCCACTGCTCTCAACCTGCCAAGGCTTCCTCAGGCCCAGATTCTAGAATTTTGGCTTGGTCACCCTCCTGCTTGGCCTTGATTTTTCATGTGTTGCCCCTATCCATGCCCGATAGAAGCTCTTCATTCTTTCTGTCCACCAGCTCTCTGGAGGTGCTGGCAGAGCTATTTTCCCCACTCCCCAATTTAGCTTACTCTTGGCTTTGGCTCTGGCTTTTCTGGTGTTAGCTCCTGTTACTAACCAGAGTGTTAATTGTTTAAGATTTACTTATTTTATGGGCTGGAGAGATGGCTCAGTGGTTAAGAGCACTGGCTGCTCTTTCAGAGGACCTGGGTTCAATTCCCCACACCCACATGGCAGCTCACAACTGTCTAATTCCAGTTACAGGGGAGCAGAAATTATGGACCATGGAAAAGTTCCAATGCAATTTTTAAAAAAAGATTTATTTATTTATGAGTGTTTTGCCTGTATATATGTCTGTACACCATGTGTGTGCCTGGTGCCCAGGGAGGTCAGATATGGAGTCTGCTACTCTCGAACTGAGTCACAGAAGGTTGTGAGCCATCTTGTGGGTACTAGTCATCAAACCCAGATACTCTGCAAGAACAAATGCTCTTAGCTGAGCTGTCTCTCCAGCCCCTACTTCCTATAGTCTTAATTCTGACAGCAGGTTTGTTGTCTCCTCTCAGCCCAGCAACAGAGCACTGGCTGATATTCAGTGATCCACAGCTGCCTTGTCCCTCTCCCTGGTTAACTCGAGATCTCTTGAAGTTAGAGGCAGCCATATGCACCTTTATTTCTCAATAAATGTTGATGAACATTGCTGAGATGGAACTCTCACGAATGGTTACATTTCATAACTCTTACTCTGAAGTTACCAACACTTTTACCAATAAGATATCATAAAGGTGAACCACTAAATTGACTGACTAATAAATTACATGGGGCTGGAGAAATGTCCAGCAGTCAAGATTGCTCACTATTCTTGGAGAGGACCCAGGTACTGTTCCCAGCACCCACATGGTGGTTCACAACCTGTAAGCTCAGGTCCATGTTCTTACACCCTCTTGTGACCTCTGCAGGCACCTACACACATATGGTGCACAGAAGCTCATACAAGCACACACATGTACACAAAAATAAATCTTTAAAAATATATTAACATGGGGCAGCCTATTATAAGCCTTGAAATACTGGGTGTGGTGGCACAGACCTTTAATCCAAACACTCCAAAGGCAGAAGCAGGAAAATGTCTGTGAGTTAGAGGTCAGCCTGGTCTACATAGCAAGTTCTAAGGCAGCTAGGACTAATAGAGCAAAATCTTTTTATTTATTTTATTTATTTATTTATTGGTTTTTCGAGACAGGGTTTCTCTGTGGCCTTGGAGGCTGTCCTAGAACTAGCGCTTGTAGACCAGGTTGGTCTTGAACTCACAGAGATCCGCCTGCCTCTGCCTCCCGAGTGCTGGGATTAAAGGGTGCGCCACCACTGCCCGGCTATTATTTTTAATTACTCATATTTACATATCCATCCCCCCATTCCCTCACTCTCCTCCCATCCTCCCATGTTCCCCACCCAACCCCCCACTCTTCCCAGGGAGGCCCTCTACCAAGGACATTCAAAGTCTGTCATATTGTTTGGGGGAGGGTCTAGGCCCTCCTTGCTGTATCTGGGCTGCAATAGTATCCCTCCATAGGGAATGAGCTCCCAAAGTCCATTTGTGCTCTAGGGATAAAGACTGTCTTGGGCTCCAAGCTGGTAGCCACATTTAGAGGGCTTGGTTTGGTCCAATGCTGTTTTCTCAGCTTTATGACTAGGGTCTCCATTCTATCAGTAGGTCAGGTCCACTGTTTCTGCAGGTCTTTCCATCCCCGTCTTGGCTCCCTTGCTCAACCCTCCTCCCTCTCCACAACTGAATTCCAGTAGTATGGTTCAGTGCTTAGCTGTGGGTGTCTGTTCTGCTTTGAACAGAAACTGGATGAAGACTCTCCTTCCTCTCCCTGCCCCCGGGCTCCAATTTGTTTAGGGGTTCTTGTGCCTATCCTCTTCTTCGAGGGACTATGCAATCTTGTGGCTAGAGCAAAATCTTAAAGTACTACTTTAGTGTCAGAAATTATTTTCATAGGGCCAGTGAGATGGCTGAAGCCGGTAAGGACTCTTGTTTCCAAGCCTGGACGAGTTGTAAGAGAGAACCAACTCCCCCAAGTCACCCTCTGGCCTACACACGCACACACACCAGGGCCCCTTGTGTGTATACACACAGAAGCACACTCATAAATTTTTAAAAAAAGTACTCACATATATCAGAAAATTAAGTGTGTCTTTGTTCTTAGGTCCTTGAGTGTAAAAAGGACAAAATAAAACCTTACTAGGCAATAAAAATAATCTACTAGATTTTTTTGGCTAATAAGTGCTTTATGCTGATGTATGCAAATAAGCTTATAAATTATTAACAGAAGATAATTATCTCCTTGCCTGAATTAGGCTAGCTGGGAAGATGTAATTCATGGAAAACCTCTTCTGATCCTCCACTACTCTTGGGAAAAGAGGAGTTGGCAGTCACATAGAAGGAACCTTCCAGAAGCTGCCCCACCATTCTGTCAAGAAGCACTATCACTCTCTTGAAATCCCATGAACTAAATGGTCTGACATAAAAGAAGTTTTCAAATTCTTGCAAGAGCAGGCATGGTGATTCATGCCTTGAGAGGTAAAGACAAAGGCAGGGGTTCAAAGGTCATCCTCAGCTACACTGAGTTACTGGACAGCCATACAGGGGACTCTGTTCCCTACCCCTTTTCCTCCCCACCAAAATATTCTGGAACAGCTGTTCTGGGACAGTGTTGCAGGGGCCCAAAGCCACACCTCCCCACTGAACATAGGCAAGATGCTCCAAGTATATGAAACACCCATTTGTACAGCTCTTGGGAAGAAGGCTGTCTCAGACAGTAGTGCCTATTCTTCCTGGTTCCAATGATGAAGCTATTAGGATCGGCAGGAAAATGAGTGCTGGTTCCCCTGAACCTGCCCCGAGGCCCATGCTCATGAAGGCACCACTTTCATCCCTAAGGTTCACTCCAAGGCTGCTGGCAAACACACTATCTCCCATGAGTACACATTTGTTTTCTGCATTAACAAAATAGAGAATCATTTCATTGATAGAAAGGCCAGTGCGAGCAGGATGCTCGGGAAGTGCTGTCATGGCAATCCTCCCTGAGACAGCTTGTTAAGTACACAGCATCAGGTGAAACACTTGTAGTGAACGTTAGCAGCTGGAGTTTTGCACGCACATTCCCCCACTATTGTTTAGTCAACTGAGTCTTATTAACCACAAATAATTTGAAGAGCAGGAAAAACACAAATTAAAAGAAGGTTAACAAGCTTTACAGAAAGATCAGTTCTGGTCCCAAGTGAAATTCTAAGGCTATTAGGCATAATGAAACAAAACCAGCACACGGTGAGAAAAGGGCCAAAGAACCCGTCTTCTGCAAACATCAGTGTGCAGCATACTTGATCAGGATGAAATAAATGCTGCATTTGATATAACAATTACTTTCACAGAAACATTTTATAAAGTACAAAATTCATTTTCAGAAACAAGTAGTATTTTTTTAACATTTTACTGGTTTAGGATATGAACATTCATTAAGAAGCAGTAAGAATATTAAAAAAAAAAATCCCTGTAAGTTTTCTTGCCAGGTGATGGTGGCACACACCTTTAATCCCAGCACTGGGAAGACAGAGGCAGCAGATCTCCGAGTTTGAGGCCAGCTACACAGAGAATTAAAAAAGAGAAAAGATTTCTAACTTTCTCTACTCTATCTTGTGTTTCTTTCTCTTTGTTGATAGTTTATTTATTTTGAGAAAGGGTCTTGCTAGATAGCCTAGACCAGTACTGACCTTGCCAGCCTTCTGCCTCTGCCCTCCAAGCACTGGGATTACAGGTATAGATACATCACTACACCCACCTATTAATAATTTCTAATCCCTAAAATAATTTAACTAAAGTCTTTCTGGAAGACATCAGGTAATATTTTTATAGAGAAGCACCATAAACCTAACACAGACTGTAAAGAAGCAGGGGAGTGAAGCTAAGAGGACTAACGGAGGGGAGTGATGAGTGGGGAGGAGGGTGCTGGGCCAGGGGCTTTGGGAAAAGCAGACCAGCCTTAGCGCTTAGCATCCTCTCACATACGTAAATGGAGAGGCCGGGAAAACTGCTCAAAAACAACAGCCACACTTCTCAAACATAAACCAACCTACCAATTAGAAAATCACCATTTTATCAGAAAAGGTAGGCATTATGTGGCAAATCCCCGTGTCCATGGGTGCAGAGGAATGGACTGTCCTTTGGCTTTAGTGTGTCTGCTCCAGGAGACTGATGTGCCGACTACTCAGGCCAGGCTGACCCGCTCACAGCTGTAGATGGTGCTCTGCTGGGAGGCACTCCTCCATTCCCGACTCTTTACAGATCCCTAACTCTGTTTTCACGGTGGCTCACAGGAGGCATGGACTGTGACAGGCTCTGCCTTGTTATCACGGCCTTCTGCTTTTCCAAAGAGATGCCAGGCACGGGCCATTTTTCGAAGTTTAGCAATATTGGGTTTAACCTATGAGAAGAAAGAAAGTAACTATAATTAACAATAGGAAAAGCTGGTAGCACAAAAGATTTATTTATTTATTTATTTGTAAGTATTTCAAAGTAAGGCTCCCCATGTTTAGATTTCTCCTTTCTGGACTCAGAAAAGATGATAGTGTTCCTCAGAATTAAACTGTAAGTCTGGATTCTTATCTCCTCAGTAGTGGGGAATAGGGATTTCTTGAAGAGGTGGGGTTTTGTGGAAGGGCTGTTTTGCCTGTATGTATGTATGGGCAACAAGTATGTGCATGCCTTGTGCCTAAAGAATCCAGAAGATGTCAGGTCTCTTGAAATCAAAGTTGCTGACAGTTTATAAGCCATCATGTGGGTGCTGGGAATCAAACCTGGATCCTCTGGAAGTGCAGCCAGTGCTCTTAACCACTGAGTCATCTTTCCAACCCCATAAAGAGTTTTAGTGGAGCAAAATCAATTGGATAAGTCAGGGAATAGTACATGAAATCTCCATGCAAGAAAAGCTTTACTGCCGTTATCGAGAAAGAGAAGCAAAAGAAAGGGCTCTGGAGCCAGGCGTTGGTGGCGCACGCCTTTAATCTCAGCACTCTGGAGGCAGAGACAGGTGGATCTCTGTGAGTTCGATGCCAGTCTGGTTTACAGAGCGAGTGCCAGGATACACAGAGAAACCCTGTCTCGGGGGGAAAAAAAACAGAAAGAAAAAGAGAAAGGGCTCTAAAAAGCAGCACAGTGTCCCTTGTACACACACATTTCTGTTTCATTTAAGATCGTAACAGGAAGCTGGAAAGATGGCTCCTGGGTTAAGAATATTGACTGCTCTTCCAGGGCACATGGGTTTAATTACCAACCGTCATATGGTGGTTCACAATTATCTAACTCTAGTTCCAGCAGATCTGACACCCTTTTCTGGCCTCCAGGGGCACCACACCTACCCACACCCACTCCCACCCACACCCACAGTGCATAAGCACACACGCAGGCAAGACACCCATACACATAAAGAAAAGAAAAATTGATTAAAACAAGAATAGAAGTGTTCTTAATTGAAGGGCTCCATGCATCTACTGCATTGTCCACATCGTTATTTATGTGCTGCTCACACCATAGATCAGAGCCACGCACGGTAGAGACCACCAAAGTCTGGCTCCCTGCCAAACGATGCAACACAAGGGATGGTTTAACACAGCTAGCTCCAATTGCTGGTCTCCGTCCCAGCCACACCTGCAAGGGACGGGATGTCTCCACTATGTCCCAACAGCTGTGAATTCAAATCGCTGGCAGGCAACTGATGTTCAGGGTGTATGTGCAGTGTGAAGTTTAAAAATCAGGAGGCCATCATGCAGCTAAGTTGTCACTTTAGTCTAAGCTCCGATTCAAATGTGAACTGAACGATCAAGTGTGTGGCCTTAAACTCCCAATGCATGTTCTTAAAATGCCCCTGTTTGGGGAGCATAAAGAAGGATTGCATTTAGCAGAGACTAGAAAAGTCAGAAAAGATACACTTTGCTCCTTCCTGATTCTCTAGGTCTGTACGGGTTGTTTTTTGTCAGCTTTACATAAGCTAGAGTATCCTGAGAAAAGAGAAGCCTCATTTGAGAAAATGCCTACATTGGCTGGGCCAGCAGGCCAGTCTCTAGGGTATTTTCTTGATTGATAATTGGTGCCACCCTTGGGCAGATGGTCCTTCGTAGTGTGAGAAAGCAGGCTGTATGAGCCATGGAGACCAAGCCTGTAGCAGCACTCCTCCTGCGTCTCTGCTTCAGTTCCTGCTCCAGGTTCCTATCCTGCTTGAGTTCCTGAATTATAATTAGGATGTGTAAGCCAAATAAGCCCTTTCCTCCACCATGTTTTGGTTGGTTTTAATCACAGCAACAGAAAGCAAACTAGGACAAGGTCATTACTGTACCTGCTTTTCCTGTTCCAAGTGGTCCAGGTCAGCTAAGGGCAGCATTGAAGGTCTCCCATGAGCACACTGGAATGGCAGCTGGCACAAGGACAGAGCTTCGATGAGGCGATAGCTCTCCTCTAGGCTCAGGCAATCATTAAACTTAATGGCCCCTAAATGAAAGAGATAACCAGAAAGCCACAGTGTGTGCATAGTGAGAACCAATGTCAACCTTGGGTCAGAACTGAGAATCTGGACAAAGTAACACATTTCTTTAGTCTGGCCTTAATACTGCTTGAGCTGGCACCTGAGGTCATGGAACAGACTAAGACTTCAGGACTGCCCTCCTGTCTCAGCTTCCATATGGAGTTTGTCCCTCTGATCTCTCAGGAAACATTCCTTAACCTGTTAGGATTTTCCTTTCGGGTTTTTTCTCAGACATAAGGACAGTAGTGAATCTGTAAGTTCTAGTTTCCTTCTGTCCACAAAGGTTCAAGAGCAAACTCTTTTCTTATAATGTCTATTCTATTTTCCCTTTTTCTTGATTTCCATAACAGTCTTCCTAATCTAAGCCTTCACATTATAACTTATCTTTATTCTAGGATCAGTCACTTAAGTCAATCGAAAGTCTGCTTTGTATTAGGAGTCTTTCAGACAGTGAATGAGAAGATGCCTCCACCCCATGACTCTGGGCTCTCACAGGTAAGACAACATGAGACAAGTCACTACAGAGTAATTTAAACTACCAGTGCCATGAAACACAGGTAGGAATGTGTAATGCAAGGCCAGCCGGGTTTTGGAGGCCAGGGAAGGCTCTCTCGGTAAAATACTTCAGCTGAGATGTTGGGTTAAGAAGACACAATCTATTGGAGGAGCAGAAAGGTATTCCAGGTTCAGGAAGGGCCAAGGTCAGGACACAGGAAGGACGAGATCAAAGAGAGATGGAGGTGTAAAGAGCACAGTGGGGTGTGACATGTGCTGAAACTCAAGAGGGAGGCAGCGTCAAAGCATGGAGACCCCTGGAAGCTGGAGGCTATGGCTTTTGGCAAGTACGGTAGGAGATGCCGGTGATCCCGGTGATCCGAGAGCTTTGGAGATAGAGACAGGAGGACCCAGAATTTAAGTTTATCTCCAGCTACATATTAAGTTAAGAGACCAACCTGGGCTATAAGAAACTTTATCTCAAATAAATAGACCATACATACATACACACATACATACATACACACACACACACACACACACACAGGCAATGGTGGTGCTAGCCTTTAATCCCAGCACTCAGGAACAGAGGCTCTGTGAGTTCAAGGCCAGCCTGGTCTGCAGAGTGAGTTCCAGGACAGCCAGAACTGTTACACAGAGAAACCATGTCTCAAGCCAAAAATAAATATATAAGGAAATACATACATACAAAAATACTTGTATACTAAGAGTATTAGTAAATGTCAATGTATATTCAGATAGAAGAATGACAGGCTTAAAGCCATGTTGCCTGGCTTGGCATGGCAGCACAGGTCTGTAATTCCAGCACTTGGGAGGCTGAGGCAGGAGGATTGCTACAAGTTAGAGGTTGGCTTACTCTACATAAGTAGTTTCAGGATAGCCTAGAGTACAAAGCAAGACCCCGCCTAAAACAAAACAAAATCCTAATGAGGACTCCTGTGGGTGCTAAGAGAACAATTGCTTGAGCAGGGCCAGAAGGGATGTGAGGACCAAGGGGAGGCAAGACAGACTCGGTTAGACTCTGAGGGAACAATGATGAACAATGAGGGAACAATGATCTGGTGACGTGGGGCATACGAGCAGACAATGAGATATTTGTAGCGGGCAGGCTAAGCGGGGAGAGGCAGAGGTGAGGAGGTTGAAAGGACGGGAATAAAATTTGGGTGTCAGTGGGTAATAGCTGCAGGAGGTTCCAAAGCTGTCACTTCCCTAACGTGAGGTCTGCAACGCCATGTCTACTCACCACGTCCCTTACTCAAGACCCCCCACCAGATCTAATGGGCCTGGACCAGCTCTAAAGATTTCTCTGGAACCTTCTAAGCGTCTGGTCTTTATTTCCAGCCTAACTTTTTGGTACTCTTGGCTGCTCCTCAGGAGAGGAATTTACTCCTGGCCTTTGTGGCTCTGCCAAGGCTGCGTCCTCACGCTGTGATGAGCCCTAGGCTCACTGGGCCTGACTCCGAGCACCCTCTTTAGGGCCTACTCCTTGGCTTAGTCAGTCAGTCAGTCAGTTTGCACCCATGCTGGGGTTTTACTTTGAAAAGTCATTTTTAATGTAGGTTGGGTTTCTTGACCAAAATGACACTCTGTAAAAGGTAAGCAGACATGTGCAGTCTGCCTCCTCTACAGTCACTGTTCCTCTCTCTGCCAGGACTCAACACACCCAGGACTCGAGCTGATGTGCAGGCTCTTACCATGGCAGGCTTGGGAGGCCAACACCTTCTGGACAGTCAGCGGCAATGTCCCCTGGATGCCTCCTGTGGTCTGCAGCAGCTATGTTATAATAAGAGGAAAATGAGACAATGAAGCCTTTTGTGTGTAGCACTTTGGTGTGACACCCTCAGGTAAGAGAAAAGCTTACCTCCACTTGTTCTCGAATAAATTCCTATAAAGCCAAAAGGAAAACAGGCGTAAATGTACTGTTCTATTGTACTTGCTCTGTTAGCATTTTAAACCATCAGTGACACAGGAAACAGTCCCCAAAATTGAGAAACGTGATGACATGAAATCAAAAAGTGTCTGCACAACAGAGGGGACAGGAAGCCTACAGCATGAGGCTTGCCACTAACATAAGAGTTAACATGTAGGGCTGTGCGTTGGTGGTGCATGCCTTTAATCCCAGCACTCAGGAGGCAGAGGCAGAAGATCTCCGTGAGTTCGAGGCCAGCCTGGTCTACAGAGCGAGAGCCAGGATAGGCTCTAAAGCTACACAGAGAAACCCTGCCTTGAAAAACAAAACAAACAAACAAAGAGTTAACATTTAGGATATATAAAGAGGAGCAAATTTGGGGCTGAGTGGCGGTGGTGCACGCTTTTAATCCCAGCACTCGGGAGGCAGAGACAGGTGATCCTCAGTGAGTTTGAAGCCAGCCTGGTATATAGAGCAAGTTCCAGGACAGGCTTCAAAACTCCACAGAGAAACCCTGTTTTGAAAAACCAACAACAACAACAACAACAACAAAGCTCAGATATCAAGTTGGAACACAAACTGTTAAGAATGAATTAATATGTATCAATGAGCTGGACCATTGTGGCACATGCTCAGGAGGCAGGGGCAGATGAAGTCTGAATTCAAAGTCCGCCTGGCCTGGTCTACAGAGGGAGTTAGTTTCAGGACAGCCAGAGCTACACAGGGGAACCCTGTCTCAGAAAAAAAGAAATGTAGCAATGACTGTCGATTGCTAGGATTCACAAAGTCACCTCAACACTGAACTGTTCCAACTTCTTCCAAAGTCAATGAATCCTCCCATCAGCCTGACTTAATGTAATCAAAATTTCTGAAACTATATAAGCTTTGTTTCAGTTTGAAGTAAACTTTAAAGTAGTCTTTGAAGTCACTTCAGGAGTTTTTATTATGATTTTCTGGTTAAAACTTTAGGTATTGAATTACAGTAAGATTCTCGAAGATCCTATCTTTTGGATTTGACACAATTTGAATCCAAATTTGACTCCAAATCTAGAGTGGGAGTCTGAGAAGAAAGGAGTTGTGTGGGCAGAAAAGACATCTGCTGAACACAGAGCCAGAGCCAAGGCTGTCACCAGCAGGCAAGGTGGAAAGGGAAAGGGAGATAACGTAGAGGCTGGGACGGGGAGTGCCTCTCGCGCCTCAATGTCTTACTTCCATCTTAGGACAAAATGCTCCACAGCCCTCTGTCCTGCACATGCAAACTCCAGCACTTCCAACCTGCAGCCACCACCTCATCTCCGTCTGTATGCAGCCAGAGATGTCTTTTTCCCTCAAGTGCTTCAGATGGATGGAAACCTAGGGCTTTGTATGTTAGACAAGCACTCTACCACTGACCTACTACTCCCAAGCCGTTTTTTGTTGTTGGTGTCCTTGGAGAGAGAGAGAGAGGGAGAAGGGGGGGGGATTGTCCAACTCACTCAGGCTAGTTGGCCTAGAATTATGTAGTTCACGCTAGCTTCAAGCTTGTAATCTCCCTGCCTCAGCCTCCTAAGTGCTGGAATTACAGGTTCTTGGAAGAGTTATTAGAGCCTCACTCCTGACCCGCTATGCTCCGATTTCATCCCAATGGGATGACTGCAGATCAACCAAGTCATCACCAAGCCCAACTGCTCAGGTTTTTCTTCCTGGCCACTGTTAACTATTTCCTCTTGCTTACAGCTCCACTTAATTGAGACAACATTCCCTTTCCTGGGATCTTCCTTCCTCAGTATTTCCAGTCATCCAACAGCTCTCCCTTGGTGTCATTCCATGACCTTACATGTCCTCAGAGCTGTGCTCTATAGGCTCTGCCTTTGCTCCTTCCCTCCCTCTCACTCTTCCTCCTGGTCAGTCTCATTGTCTCCTGGCCCTTCTTCACCTTCTGACATCACCAAATGCACATGCTGTTCTGGACAACAGATATGTACAACCCAGATTTCTTTTCTAGACACCAGAGCAGCAGTCTGCTAGGCCCCTGGCATCTGTACCTGAAGGCACTGTCTCTGCACTGAGGTAGCAATCACCCCAGAATCACTGTCATGTATCTTTTCTTCTTTATTCCTTTGTGTGCCTTTTGCATCAAATCTGGAGTTTCCCTCTCATCTAGTTGTCAAATCTGTCCCTCCTCCCCATTCCCACCCCCGACCTAGTCAAATCATATGGCAACCAGTACAATAGCTTTTTTTTTTTAAGATTTTATTCATTTATTATGTATACAACATTCTGCTTCCATGTATATCTGCACACCAGAAGAGGGGACAGATGGTTTTGAGCCACCATGTGGTTGCTGGGAATTGAACTCAGGACCTCTGGAAGAACAGCCGGTGCTCTTAACCTCTGAGCCATCTCTCCAGCCCACCAGTACAATAGCTTTAACTTCTCATTCTGCTTCCAAACCTGCCCATGTATCCTAACTTAGCCACCGAGTCTACCTTCTAAGTTTTGTGCATTATTTTCTTACATTATTTAAATGCATATGCACGTGTGCATTCGTGTATGCATGTACACATGCCGAGATGTGTACTTGGAGGTCAGCGGATGGACTGAGGGAGTTTGTTTTCTCATTCTACCAGGTAGGTCCTGAGGCTCAAACTCAGCTCAGATCTGGCTGCGGCACCTGTACCTGCTGAGCCATCTGGCTGTCTCGAGTGTTTTGCCTAAGTGTATGTAAGTGTATCGCATGTGTGCCTGATGCCCATGAAGGCCAGAGAAGGGTCCTGGAGCCCCTGGAACTGAGTTACAGATGGTTGTTAGCCAACACATAGGTGCTGGGAACAGAACCTGGGTCCTCTACAAGAGCACTCAGTGTTCTTAACTTCTAAGCCATTTCTCCACCCCCACCCCCATTTGGGACGACGTCTCACTGTGAAACCCTAGTTAGCTTTAAACTGCTTACTCCTTAGCCTCGGAGCTGACCATCAGGTGCCCCATGTAACGCTCTCTTGTAAGCACACACACCTCTCTGTAGTATAACTGTTTCCTTCCTCCTTACTGTGAGCTAACTTATCTTTAAATGTCTAGCAACCGGCACCCTGACTGTAGCAAACGTGTGCTGACTAAAGATGAGCACTGAAGTTCGGGGCGCTCGGCTGCTCCCCAGGCACGGGAAGAGGCATCTTACCTCCACGATGCTCTTAGTCACGGTGCATCTTCCTCTTCGAAGCTCACTGGCTTCTCTTTCTACAAAGCAGAGCGGCACTTTTCCCACAAGGATCAAAGAATCACTAGCATCTGGAAAGATCAATTCCAGTCCCAGATCTTCTAAATGTTTGTGGTAAGACCTAAGGAGACAGCCTCAGATGTAAAAGCATGACTTCACCACTTCAGTGCTGCTTCCAAAAACTTGATAGTTTTCAAAAGTGCCCATGACCTTTGGAAGTTGTATTGTTTTCCTTATGCTTATATGTGTTTAGGATTTTATTATCAGATTTCCTTTTCAATTACAGTAATTCTCATTCACAGCTACACTTTCTAAGAATTCAGTTACTCGTGGTTGACTGTGATCCAAAAAAGTAAATGGAAAATTCCAGAAGTAAACTTTTTTCTTTCTTCACTTTGGGGACTGAACTGGTGCCTTGCACATGCTAAGCATATGCATCCCCAGCCATAAAATCAAATTGCATGCTGCTCTGAGAAGTCTGATAAAATAAAATCTCAAGCTGTCCCACTGAGGCATCCTGTTGTCCTACATAGCCACTGTATATGCCACACCCCTGCTGGTCACTTAGTTACAGCTGACCACTCCAGTATCAGGGCTTTTTTGTTTTTTTTTTTAGTTTTTCAAGGCAAGGTTTGTCTGTGGCTTTGGAGGCTGTCCTGGAACTAGCTTTTGTAAATCAGGCTGGTCTCGAACTTACAGAGATCTGTCTTCCCAAGTGCTAGAATTAAAGGTGTGTGCCACCAATGCCCAGCTCCAGTATCAGTTTTTTTTTTTTTTAAGATTTATCTATCATAATTGTATCTCATGTGTATGAATTTAGCCTTCATGTATGTATGCCACATGCTTGCCTGGCACCTTTAGAGTCCAGAAGAGGGCATGGGATCCTCTGGCACTGGAGTTACAGTCAGTTGTGAGACTTCATGTGGTTGCTTGGACCCAAATCTGGGTTCTCTGCAAAAGCAGCAAGTCCTCTTAAGCACTGAACTATCTCTCCAGCCTAGTACTGCAGTTTTTACGCTGAAGTAACCCTTATTTGATTCCCTAATGTCCCCAAACCACATCAGTAGTGATGCAAAGGCAGCAAAGCATAAAAAAGGAAGACAGATTGATCATGGACCCATGTGGCAATGCTGCGGGACATGCAGATAGCTGTGGTATAAGGTGGCAATCTACAGGGAAAACAACACATACACAGGCCTCAGTAGTGGCCTTTTCAGGCATCTGCTGAGATCCTGTAATAGATGCACACATATGAGGGAGAACTGTTGCATAGTAATCCTTTTTTCTTCTGTCTTTCTATTGAGAGAACCAATTTGCTCCCAAATCTTACTCCCAAGTTTTCATTTTCCACTAAGGAACTAACTTACTGCCTGCATTTACAGAAATCTGGCTCAAAGAGAAGCTCTGAAAATGTTCTCAATCATAAAAGACAGAGGTAATTAACAGCCCCAAGATCTGAGCTGTCCGGACTGGGGTGTGCTGGTGGCACTAAGCAAGTGAATTATGCTCTAGGGGAAAAAAAGCTACATTGGCAGCAGTGAACATTCAAACCTGAAATGAACTGACAGTCTTTTCATTTTCAATAACTGACACTGCCCAGAAGTGGGAAAATGACCTATCTCGTGACTTGCTCCAGGACTTGCCCCACCCTGGCATCGAAGTGTTTGGCTTCTTCCTAATAAGATTATGGTAATGAAGAATCTAGAATGAACCAAGACGCAAGAATGGAAGCAATTACTACCCTAACTTTGCTCTCAGAAACAGTACAGCATAAACACTTGGCTGTTCCAAGAAATGAGAAAAGTGTTCTAAGCCAACTGCTGGAAAAAATTATCAGGGAAATTCTATCCTATACTCAATAGCTATGCTATAGTGGGAAGAATGACTTCTGGGGTCAGGAGACAGGCTTCGAGTGCCCGCTCCACAGCTAACAGTTATGACCTTGGAGTAAGCCACTCACAACTTTTGTCCAAGTTTCCTTTCCTGAAAAAGATGGAATATTTATGCAGAAACCTCAACAAGTTACTGTAAAGCTATATACTACCAGCATCGTGTCCTTGAGGTATTACTAACCACAAGAGTCTCCTTTGCTCCTTTGGTACCGTGATGGCTAGAGGAGGAATTATCATGGAAGACAGTAATTTTTTCCGACCAGAGCTTTGCGGAGGCTGCTTCTCATAGGAGTCTATTGGAAGAGATGAATGAGAAAATAAGAAGGGAAGACTGTTACATTCAGTCAAAGGATGCTGGGTGAGGCATGGCCATGGTAAAGTTCTCTGCAATTAAGTAGTGTGCTCAGTGTTCAGGTCTACAATTTGGATTCTAGTAGCAAACTAAGGGAAAGCCAGACATTTTACTCATTTTAGCAGTTTTTCAAAATAAAAAAGAGAAGACTAAACTCTTACATCCCAATGAACAAGCAGTGTTCCTGTAGTTATTATGTGTGGTATCAAGAGGGCTTCATGGTTCCTTCAGAAAGGTTTCTCAGTTTCTGAAAAGAATTTGCCAGTATTATTCTCAAATGATGCAGGCCCTATATAGTAATTAAGTTTGGGTATAAATTTTAAAATTATTATTTCATTTAAAAATATTAATGTGTATGGGTGTTTTGCCCGAATGTATGTCTGCATACCATGTGTGTGCCTGGTGCCCACAGAGGCCATCAGAGAGCATTGGAACCGGTGGAACTGGAATTACAGGCAGTTGTGAGCTGTCATGTTGGAGCTGGAATTAAACCTGGATCCTCTGCAAAAGCAGCCAGTGCTTTAACTTCTGAGCTGTCTCTCCAGTTCCCTATTATTTACGTGTGTGTGTGTGTGTGTGTGTGTGTGTGTGTGTGTGTGTGTGTGTGTGTGTGGTGTGTGGCAGGGGGCTACACACAAGCCAGGCCCACACATGGAGATCAGAGGACAACGTTGGGAGTAAGTTCTCTCCTTCCACCTTTATGTGGGGGACGGGACTGAGCTTGGGTTATCAGGCTCCCATGGCAAATGTTTTGCTGGCTAAGCTATCTCACTGACCCATAAGTTCCTTTTTAATGAGCCAAATTTTTCACTTGTTCATTTCTTGCATTTCAAGTTTTCTTTGATGACATCCTCAGCCTGAGATTCTTGGCCCACAATCCTTAACTGCTACACACCACAACCAATGGCTTTAATAACTGTTATGGTCTTGGACAAGCCATGGGAAGATCAAGCCTTCTGATATCCCTTTCTTCCTAACAATTCTTTTATGCAAAAATCTCATGATGTTGCACAGCCAGTTCATTTCTTGTGGTCATCAGCTTTCTTAAAGCCCAGAGCTCAGGGCTGGAGAGATGGCTCAGCAGTTAAAACTGCTCTTCCAGAGCACCTGGGTTCAATTCCTAGCACCCACATGGCAGCTCACAACTGTCTGTAAATCCAAGATCTAAAGTTCAGAGCTCAGTGTAAAGGGTCTCCACAAGCTTCACATGTGCTTATCGTGAAGACAGCTCTGTTAAAAATTACCACAAACTCTAGACACTCGAGCAACAAACATGCTTGCTATTAGTGAACTGAACTTGATTTGCCAGATGCCAAACGAGACTTGGCAACCACCCTCCAGCTGCTGGGAACTGCTGACCAGAGTCACGACCTACACATTTCTCAAACCACTGTATTTCACCCACCAAAATGAGTAAGGGGGTGGGGGCTCAAAATTTAAATCCTTACTCTAAGCAATTTTCTTCCACTGTTTTGATTGTATCTTTCCAAACTCTTGGGCCTTCGTTTGTTTGTTTTTTTGAGACAGGGTTTCTAACAGCTCTACCTGTCTTAGAACTCACTCTGTAGACCAGGCTGTCCTCAAACTCACAGAAATCCACCTGCCTCTGCCTCCTGAGTGCTGGGATCAAAGGTGTGTGCCAGCATCACCTGGCAAAATATACTTAGGGTTGTGGGTTTTTTTCCGGGGACGGGGGAGGAGAACAGGGGATGGGGACTTCATTTTATAAGTGCAAAGAAAATGGCAGTAATATTATTGCCATTCCAGTTAATGAAACATCTACCTGGAGAAACCCTATCTCAAACAAACAAACAAAAAACCAAACAAATCAAAACAGCACAGTCACTTTGAAAAGATACATCTAAACAGCACGATACCAGCTGCCTCTAAGAAAAGAAATACAGTGAAATGAAAGACAAGGGTGTAAAGGATGCTTTGTTATATTTCCTTTTGTACCTTTTAAAATTAGACCAATCTGATTGCACTACCTGTGCCCAAATAAACGAGATTTTAAAATAAAAGTATTTTTATGGGACTTTGTGGACTCTGGGGAAGGCCCAGTGAGAGTACACAGGCATTGAAGAACATACCTTTGTGCTGTGCGACAGAATGAACTAACCCAGGCCTTCTGTAGGTCTGGGCGGAGAATAAATACATAGGAAACACGTCTGTGACCAAGTCCATCAGACCCGTGTGTCTGAATTGGCAGAGCAAAGTACTGCAGTCTTTCATTAGTTTTCAGACTCGATGATTTCAGCCTAAATTTCAAACACACAATGCATCCTTCCTCCCAAGTCACATGAGGAAACTCTCGGCATATCAACTGGGCTGGGGGTCTGCAATCTGCAGTTGCAGACAGATGCTCACCAGAAATAAGCTGCTCCAAACGAACTCGCTCATGGGCAGCGTGCTGATCCACCAAGACTAGCAGGTTTCCACCTACAAAACCATCCACAATTACTGGCATTCCCAATCTCAAGATTAAAAGAATCATAAAGGGTGGAGGGAGAAAAAAGGTTTATTCAAGCCACTTAATGATGAAAACACAAGACATACTGAGTAGATATAATTGTAGTTTTTATTTTTTGAAAAAGGGTCCTGCTATACAGCCCTAATTGGCCCAGAATGTGGCTATGTGGATCAGGCTGGCCTTGGAACTCAGAGAGATCCACCTGCCTCTGCCTCCCAAGTAAGCATTGGGACTAAAGTTATACACCATCACACCTAACTCAATTATACTTTTCATTCTTTAACAAAACTTGAAATTATCAATAAATTAACAAATTCATCCCTGGTGAAAAACCCTTTAACTCATCAATATTTCATTTAGAAAGGAAGGTTAAAATTTTAAATTTATTCAATACAGACTTGGCTTTATTAATTCAACTTTACTACAATGAAGAATTATTAGCTAATGCACTGTATACATTATAATCAGTGGATCTTGATTTGCAAACCACTCTCAAACTCAAGAAGCACATACTTGTATACTTTAGATCAGAGGCCAGAATTTTTTTTTTTTTTTTTTTTTTACAAAGAGGCAGAAAAGAACCATTTTATGCTTTTTAGGCCACATGGATTCTGTCATGAGTATTCGTCTTGAGCCAAAGCAGCCACAATCTGTGCCACTATAGCTATGCTCCAATAAAACTTTATTTATGGACACTGAAGTAACTGCATATGATGTGGCTATGTCAAGAAGTCTTCCTTTGTTTTTTCCTAACCATGTAAGGATGTAAAAATCACTACTTCCCTGGCTGCAGAGAAACAGACCCTCACTGTGTCTACCCATAGTCTGCAACTGTAGCTGTTTTAGGCTGAGGCTTCCCAAGCTATCCTCCGTGAACCTGTCACCTGGAAGCATACTCAAATGCCAGATCTGGTCAATAGGGCACAAGTTTCTGCAATTCTAATTAACTCCCAGGTGATCTTGCCTAATGGCCCCACTTAAAAAAAAAATTTGGGGGGGGGGGCAGAGAGATGGCTCAGCAGTTAAGAACACTTGTTTCTCATCCAGAAGACCCGGCTTGATTTCCAGCATCTCCATGAAGGCTCACAACTACCTGTAACTCAAGTTCCAGTGAATTCGAGGCCGTTTTGGTATCCACATGTACTGCACACAAATGATATATATACATGCATACATGCAGGAAGACATTCATACATATAAAAACTTTTAAGTAAAGATATCTTTAACTATGTGTACTGCAGGTGCACATTCGTGCCTATGAGAGCAGGTGCCACAGAAGACACACGTGTTGCATTCATTCCCTTGGAGGCAGAGCCACAGGAGCTGTGAGCCACCTGATGGGTGTGCTGGAGACAGAATTCTTGACAAGCTGTATGGCTGTTAACCACTGAGCCATCTCTCCACCCCCTACAATCCTCTCTTTTCAGAGCAGGGCTTCAGACTTTCAAGTACAAACAAGGGATGTGCAAAGGTTTTGGAAGTCAGCCCTACAGGGAATCTCAGGGACAGGACAGCTTTCCACGACATTATTACAGCTTTTAAAAGCTGCACTTGTATTATTTTAACCAATAGCTTGAAGGTTGTTATCAATCATACTGAAACAAAAGCTCTTCTCTTGAATTTGGTATAGAAAACATCTTTTCCTATTCTATTAAAAGATTAAACATTAAGTCGTAGAGAACACTCAATCTAGAGCAGGCTGGCCTGTGGGCATGTATGTAAAGGGTTCTTCTGATTAAGTTGCCTAAAAGTTTGAGACACCATTCCCTGGGTTTATGGCCTAAACTGAAAGAGCAGATAAAGCAAGCCAAGCAGATGGCAAGCGTGCTTATTTCTCTTCTCTAGACTCTGGGTGTGATGTGACTACCTTCTTCCAATTCCCGCCTGACTTCTTCCCGGAGATGGAATGTAATCTGGAGTTGTGAGCTAAAATGAACTTTCTTCCCGAAACTGCTTTTTGTCAGGGTATTTTATCATAGCTATGGAAATGAAACTAGGGGAGATACTATCAAATGCACAGCATTAAAGGAAATGCACAGACTTAAAGGAAAAGGGAACAGACAATTTGCTTTTTATTTCTGAGACAAGATTCATTGTATTTCAGGCTGGCTGCAGATTTCCTATGTAGTTGAAGGTGACACTGAACTTCTGATCCTCTTGCCTGATATTCGAGCATTCTGCCAATTAAGCAACACACACTCCCACCCCACAAACAGACTTTTTCTGGTGTGTGTACAATCTCAAGTGGTGTTTCTCTTTCTCTCTCTCTCTCTCTCTCTCTCTCTCTCTCTCTCTCTCTCTCTGTCTCTCTTTTCTTACAAAAGAAAAGAATTTAGTTGGGGAGCATGGCTGCAGGCGTGATGGGTGTGGTGCTGGAGAAGTGGTTGAGAGCTACATCCTGATCTGCAGGGAGACAGAGAGAGGGGGGGGGAGGGAGAGAGGGAGAGAGAAGGGGAGAGAGAGGGAGAGAGAGAGGGAGAGAGAGAGAGAGGGAAAGAGAGGGAGGGAGAGAAGGGGAGAGAGAGAGGGAGAGAGAGAGAGAGAGAGAGGGAGAGGGGGGAG